AATTTTCTGAACACAAATTTGACAGATTAGATGAAATTTTTGCCCAGAAACCAATTAGTCAGTTAATTGATGATGGTATGAAACCAAATCGAGATACTGGAAGTCAAAATCCCGAATAAAATTGTAAAATCATATTGTCCCAATCTCTGTCCCATTTTCAGTTTTTGAAGATTAAATTTGCAGAACCGAAATTTTACAGTTTTTACTGAATTTCTCACCCGTAACCAATTAGTAAGTCAACTATAGGTGGCATATGACACGATTGAGGTGCTTGAAGTTTGATTTCGGTCGGAGGAAGCCCACAGCAGAAAGCTTAACAAAACGAAAAGTTTTATTTTCAAAAGTCTGTCCCATTTTCAAATATGAAAGTTTCTGAACACAAATTTGACAGATCTAGATTAGATGAAATTTTTGCCCAGAAACCAATTAGTCAGTTAATTGATGATGGTATGAAACCAAATCGGGATACTGGAAGTCAAAATCCCGAATAAAATTGCAAAATCATATTGTCCCAATCTCTGTCCCATTTTCAGTTTTTGAAGATTAAATTTGCAGAACCGAAATTTTAAAGTTTTTACTGAATTTCTCACCCGTAACCAATTAGTAAGTCAACTATAGGTGGCATATGACACGATTGAGGTGCTTGAAGTTTGATTTCGGTCGGAGGAAGCCCACAGCAGAAAGCTTAACAAAACGAAAAGTTTTATTTTCAAAAGTCTGTCCCATTTTCAAATATAAAATTTTCTGAACACAAATTTGACAGATTATATGAAATTTTTGCCCAGAAACTAATTAGTCAGTTAATTGATGATGGTATGAAACCAAATCGGGGTATTGGAAGTCAAAATCCCGAATAAAATTGTAAAATCATATTGTCCCAATCTCTGTCCCATTTTCAGTTTTTGAAGATGAAATTTGCAGGACCGAAATTTTACAGTTTTGGCTGAATTTCTCACCCGTAACCAATTAGTAGTCAACTATAGGTGGCATATGACACGATTGAGGTGCTGGAAATTTGATTTCGGTCGGAGAAAGCCCACAGCAGAAAGCTTAACAAAACGAAAAGTGTTATTTTCAAAAGTCTGTTTCATTTTCAAATATGAAATTTTCTGAACACCAATTTGACAGATTAGATGAAATTTTTGCCCAGAAACCAATTAGTCAGTTAATTGATGATGGTATGAAACCAAATCGGGATACTGGAAGTCAAAATCCCGAATAAAATTGTAAAATCATATTGTCCCAATCTCTGTCCCATTTTCAGTTTTTGAAGATGAAATTTCCAGGACCGAAATTTTACAGTTTTGACTGAATTTCTCACCCGCAACCAGTTAGTAAGTCAACTATAGGTGGCATATGACACGATTGAAGTGCTGGAAGTTTGATTTCGATCGGAAGTAGCCCATAACAGAAAGCTTAACAAAACGAAAAGTTGTATTTTCTAAAGTCTGTCCCATCACTGAACTAGAATTTAACAGAATATTAATGACAATCTTGTTAATTGGTGACATACCAATTTCAGCAATACTCATACAATGAACAGTTCATTGTATGACACTAATAAACAAAATTTAGATCTGACAAGATTTCAGTCACATGACCTCACATGAGTCATGACAAGAAATTTTAAGTCTTTAGAGGCTGTTCATGTGAATGATAATGTGATCACGTGATTAAGAATCCGGTCACGTGATTACCCGGTACTTGTTAGCCAGTTTTCTCAGACTCCGACCCTTCACCTTAGTGTCTGAAACCCGGCCTAGTCTAATCAACACACTGACAGATTATATTATAATCAACACGGATTCCGTTAAATCTGTGAAATTTTGGTTTAGGTAATAATAATATCATATTTGAAAATAGGACCGAAACGAGAGAATATGATTTTCCATTTTGAAATGCTTTCTCTCTTCTAGTATCTCAATTGTGTCTTTTGCCTGATCCATAATTATCTAACTAATTCTTAACTGAAGAAATTCCGTTAAAACTGCAAAGTTTCGGTGAAGTTACTACTACTACTAATCACAGTGCTGGCAAGCACGACCGTTGCATTTATTGTGGGTATACTATGTACCCCATTTACTATTATACCCCCTTTACTAATACTATTATACCCCCTTTGGTACACGTTACAAGCCTCTTTCGTGCAGGCGAAGCGTGCACTCCGGCCGGAGGCGGCGGCCGAAGGCCGCCGCCTCCGGCAGGAGTTTTTCAGGCATTAAGACTCATCGGAAGTCGTTCAGCAGATTTATTTTTAGTTCAAAACATTCTAATTTGATGTCAAAGATGACAGGAATAAAAAATAGTTATGTTGAGATTTTTAAGAAATTTGCATAAAATACTCGCCAGCACTGTTATACGAAATTCGGTAAAAAACCCAAAATCGCCATATTCAGATGCTTTAAAAACCATGTTAAAATTGAGTTAGAGATCTGAAATTTTTCAGGGCGTCTAGACGTTGACCAAATCGACTGCAAAAAAAGTTCCAGGTTTCAGGAACATCGGGAAGTGGGTTTTCTAGAACCCCTGTTTTACGATAGATTGTCGTGATATATACATACATACATATATATTCAGGGATAGACGCTTTGCCAGTCAATTGTAGCCTGTATTTAATTGTCCATAGATTCTAAAGTATAAAAGATACAGCCATTTCCGACCACAGGTCTTGAAAATAATTGTTTACACTTTAGTTTACATTTATAAACAAATTATTTGACGTCATGAACACCCCTTGATGACGTCATCAAGTTAACCGTTTTTAAAACTTGATTTTTGACAAAGTAATAACTTTTTAAAATGATTTTACACCATTAAAAAGTAATTGTATTCAAAATCTGAGGAAATTTTCATCTTAGATAATTGTTCAAGCATTCTGAAAATCTACCGGAAAGTTTTTCTAGCTTGCTCCTTCATAAAGATATTCGTCATTGAAGTTTGTGCTTTTTTGAAGAATTATTTTATAAAAACGTCAATTTTGCGATTTAGTATTCTCTGGTGTTGGGCCATGCCTTGGGTTGTGGAGCTCAGTTCTGCTTCCTATAGGTATAAATTGTGCATTAGGCTAGTTTTAAAGTTAAAAATCGAAAAGTTGCACACGTGGGGACACGCCCAAATTGATAGAAAATTACTAAAATCACTGTAAATTGCTGTTTTCGTCATTTTCTGTCAACTTTAGAGTCCCGTTGTGATTACAATTCTTCTTGAAATACTTTGAAACTTTGCATGCTTATCAAGTTATATATAAAACAATTACATGCTAAAATTTACGGCGATTCAATATTCAATGCGCACGCAACGTCCGCTCAAAGTTTGCACGTGCGAAAGGTGAGAATTTGCTCATTCGTGATTTCCAACAAATTCTGCTTTGCCACGACAGTTTAATGTCATTATATATGAATTTAATGCCAACTTGAATGAGTATTAAGTGGCATATTCAGTCAGTGATCGACCGATATGCTTCCCTAAACACAAGGAAATGTTTTCAAAGGAAAAATTTCGAAATCGTTGAAACTTCCTCCTATTTAATGAAGATATCAGTGTATATTTCAACTTTATAAAGTACCCTGATATTATAATCAAAAAGAGATGATATTTGACCAAAACCCATAATCATGGGTAGAGTGGACCGCTGCCAGTGTCTCTCTTTCCCAAACAAAAGGAAATGATATTAATTTGATTGACCGTGCTCAAATGCAAAATGATACCGAGAATGAAATCGGTCGCTCGCTTTTCCCATTCATTTACAATTGTAATAGATTAAGAAGAACTATCCAAAGGCAGCTGTACTCGGCAATAAAGATTCAATAAACTTCAGCTTATTCAATAAGTAATACTAATAACTACCACCCTTACCCCGAAATACTAGGTATCGACCCGAACGCAACCCAAAGAGATTTTTACAGCATCTGATTGATGTAATCAATCGAAACTTATTACAATTCGTAAGCCGTGAATGAATGGGAAAAGCGAGCGACCGATTTCATTCTCGGTATCATTTTGCATTTGAGCACGGTCAATCAAATTAATATCATTTCCTTTTGTTTGGGAAAGAGAGACACTGGCAGCGGTCCACTCTACCCATGATTATGGGTTTTGGTCAAATATCTATATTGTAAATTTTCATTATTCTTAGATTTTGACACCTCCTGATCGAACAGTAATTCATTAATCCAATTTCAGCTTTGATAAGACTAAGAGAGAAATACTTATAAGTCATGATGAATATCACAAAGCTCAATTCAAAAATAAATGTATATAAAACTGAAAATCGACAAATAAATTAGCAAAATTTAAAATCAAGGATATCTGTCTAACACTTGGCTTAAGGTTTTAAAGCTTACGTAAATATATATGTCTTCATCGGTCGATTCAAAATTCGATTCAAAATTCGGTCTTAATTATATCCTATAATTTTAAACTCAAGTCGTTTATTCTTCTCTAACTCTAAAAAATGTATGTTCAACATTGAGTTACCGTTATAATTATAGTAGGAGAGAACCTAGAACTTGTATTGATAAAATATGTCATCTTTCAATCATCTTTTCAACTGACATTTCAATCAAAATTTCAACGATGACGATACTAATAATACATAATACGGAAACATGCATCAAACTAAAAATTATATCGCCAATGAAGACAGTTCTCCTCAACACTCAACAGCGCAAATAGTAGTCTAGGATTAAGTTCTTTCTCCGTTACAATACCAATTTTTGCAGAATGCAAGATGCTTTCTCTTAACTTATTCCTGCTAAAAAACCCGACTTAAGTGCTTAAAGTAATGATGTCAGGAAACTGGATTTGCCTCCTATTATGGTAACCGTTATCTATTTCAAGACCCACTACAATTTGATAAAATCGAAATTGCAACCAAAACTTAGCATACCCGTTATTTTAATTTAAACAAAAATATAAACACCTAATATCAATACTGAAAGTCAACTTTTAAGTTCACATCATCAAAATAAATAAATAACCAATCCTCGCGCTTCACTCACCACTGAACAATTCCCTGAGAATAACAAGTTCCTCAGCCCATTTGTCCTCATCAGGTGTCTCCAAAACCATCGGAATGTTCGGGAACCTCTTGACCAGATATTTAAAGACAGGTAACTTGATGCAGCCCTCGCCTAACACCTCGTGCCGGTCTAAGTGGTCATCACAGTGTCCCTTCTTGTCATTTAGATGGAACGCTTTGAGGTATTCCAACCCCACAACTTCTTCCAGTTCTGAAAATGTAGCTTCTATTCCTTTCAGCGTAGATAGATCGTATCTGAAACAGGATCGTGGGTTAACGAGGAGTGTGTATTATAATGGGCTTGTTTTTGAGTGGAGGGCAATTAACAAATTTACTATGCCTATATTGACTCCGATAAAACGTCGAGGGGCCGATTTACTCAGAGACCTACGTTTTTGCCTAACCTTTTTTGTCTATGGCAGTATAATCCTAAGAGATCACATTTATTTGTGTATGCATGATGGAATGTTTGGGACTTGGTTGATAATATTTTATTTGCTGCAAGCACCGTAATTGTAATACTTCGTAAATAATTTTAGTACTAATCGCAAGAAAATGTAATCTGCATTGTAACCGATTGATTGTGAAAGTAATGATATTACAAATTGTAAAAATGTATAAAATGCTCTAAAATGGTGATAATGACACAGAAATACTTAAAATAAACTCAACTTGTTCACTCCGAAAATGAAGCATGTAGTTCATTAAAGTTTCCATATTTGAATGATTTAAAAAAATCTAATTTTTAAACCAGGAATGTCTAGCGAGAGAATTGAAGTTAATCCTGTGATTAACATTGTAATTCAAACACTGGTCAACAAAGTCTCTAGCTCTGGAATCTTCAGTAAAGTCCCACTCAACAACCTTCCCTCCAACAATATCCTCCTTCTTCAGATAAGGAGGGTTCATTTTCAGGAGGGTGTAAGCCAGACATCCGATACTCCAAACTGCAGCAGGTTGTACTTGATAGCACCCCTTGATGTAGTATTCTGGAGGAACATACCCCTCAGTACCTTGGAATGTGGCGTACAATGTACACTTGTCCGTGATGGCTGAAGCTGATCCAAAGTCTATGAGTTTGATGTGTCCTGTTCTAGGGTTGTATAGAATGTTCTCGTCCTTTATGTCTCTATGATCCACACCGACTGAGTGAAGGTATGTGCTCACTTGAATGACTTGTCTGATAATAACTCGTGTAACTGCTGAATTCATAGGACCAGATTTCATCAGCACTTTAAACAAGTCCAGGTATTCAGGATCGTACTCCATCACGGACATCCAGAAGTCTTGTTCCAGGAACAGGTCACACAGCTGCACGATAGAGGGATGGTCAGCTTTCTCCCAGAGGAGGATCTCGTCAGGCATGTCCATTTGTCTGCGGGGGCACCAGGACTTCCGGCTGTATTTCCTGTCGTGAACTATCTTGACAGCGTGCAGTGCTCCAGTTGTGTTATTCTCGCAAATAAACACAGTTCCGTACCCTCCTTGTCCCAGTTTGTCGAGCAGTGTGTAGGCACCAAAGAAGGAATCAGGAGCTGGCTCATCAGACTTTTTTCTCAAGAAACCGAACATTTTGTTGAATTGTTGAATGTAGTTGTAACTAGTAGATGTGGAAATGTAGATAACTTGTAATGGGTCCGTGAGGATTATATACCATTGTAAGTGGTTTGATTAGGCAAGGCCGGGTTTCAGACACTAGGACTGGAGTCTACGTCTGGAAAATTGTCTGACAAGGATTGGGTAATCACGTGATCGGATTCTTAATCACGTGATCAGTGTCATGATCACTTGATCACTCGATCAGTTCTTGATCACGTGATCAATTACGTGAACTGCCTCTTAAGCCTAATGATTTCAGGTCACGTGACTGAAATCTTGTCAGCTGTTATATGTATTTTAGATCATGTTAATTAGTGGCATACAATGGTATATTCTGTTAAAGTCTAGATCAGGTGAGTGCAGTTCACAGGAGCATTTAAGCATTATGAGATAAAGTGGGGATGTGGCAGTACCACTACCTCGTCTAGCACCGATGTAAATGTCATATGCCAGATTGAATACTAATGTATCTAATTCTTTTCGTACTGTCATTAGACCATATCCTGACTTTTGTTCTGAACTTAAGCTCTGATGAGTCAGCAATTTTTCTTCCTCAGAAAAATGATTGACAAAGAAAAAAAGATCTGATGGATAATGGATTCCCTTATAAACCAATAACGTAACCATTGTTCAATGTTCAAGTTGGCATTTTACTAATCTGCACAACAATCCTCCTTAGTGAGTTCTCAGATATTGAGATTGTGTTATGTTTGCAATATCCCTCTTCTTAGCCCTCACGTCACCAGGAATTATAGCTGGTGTAGGCGGGGGAGTTTGTCGTGTCCGGCATCTTGACACTCCCGTCGCAGCAAGAGACGGAGACTACATCATCGGAGGAATGTTCCAGATAGGTCGTCTCGAGTACACAAGTGGTTATAATGGCACTCTAGTTCAGCATTGCTCTCACAAGGGGATGAAAGAGTATAACATCCAAAAGGCCATCGTGCTCAGAATGGTGATTGACAAAGAAAATGAAAGATTTAAGAGAGATTTCAACAAGACCTTGGGATACGAGATGTATGATAGCTGCATGAGTTCAGCTGTAACAGCGAGAGCCTCCACTGCACTTGCTCGCAACAAAAAGTTGGTGGGAGTTTCTGGGGTTGACATGAACTCGTATATCAAAAGATCTGCTGCTATCACGACGTCATTCAATACTCCCACATTCGTCTACATGGTCAATGATGGTGAGTTGATGTCTCAAAGCCAATATCCAAATCTATTTTCCATGATCGACACAGAAATAAACGAAGCTGAAATAACCATACGATTCCTTGAAAAGATGGGTTATAAGCACATGGATATATGGTACCATAAATTTTCGAAAGATATGGCCGAGCACATATACAACAGCTACGTCAAGAAAGTAGGATGTGGACGAGTAGCTGATGTCACATACCAATCTCACATACCTAGGATAAAAGAAACCTACAATAAAACAGGTGGAACTCCTTCACGGGTTCAACTCATTCTACAAAATTCAGGATCAACAACCAGAGCGATGCTAGAGGAGATGGTCGGTAATCTAGGATTCCGAGATAAGATCTACATACTCGGATTATCAAACGGACGATACAGTAACCTGGACGACTATGCAAAAATCCTAAATACCTCTGGACACAACACCCTCATACTTCCACTACCAGATCTCCTCAATGTTAAACTGGATCAAACATTAAAAGATTTAAACAAAGACTGGAGACAGGTTAAGAAGAGAGACTACATCGACGACATCTATCAGAATGTACAAAGTTACAGATGTCCAAAAGATCGAGATGAGCCAAAGATGTGCAAACTGACCAGCTGGATTCCTTACATGGTCGGAGGAGTTAAGCTGGTTTTAGAATCTCTCCACGCCATTCTTACAAATGTGGGAGTACCTGTATTACCTACCGGCACTCAATGTTTAATGGACTACAAAAATAAGCTGTTCAACGAAATTGTGAATGAGAATCGAACGTTGAATGTTACTCTGGAAGAGAATGTAACAATACCCATCAAGATGTTCAACAAGACAATCAATACTGGCTACGGGATTGGGGTCTACAAAACTGAGACACAAACTTTCAGGACTCTAGGAAGGGCATTCGTTGACCGAATAGAAGTAACCAACAAAAGTCTTCTGGAAAGCATATCAGGCTACAACAAAACGTGTTCACATACCTGCCAGCCAGGCACCCATAGACTTTTTGACGAGAATATTCAATACCTGCCCTGCTGTTGGACCTGTGAACCTTGCAAGCTAAACCAATTTAGCTCCGAAACTGACACCGACATGTGCATATCATGTGATCACTCTATGAAATCCACTGAAAACCACACTGCTTGTGTCTTGACCCCAGAAATCTACATCCGACAAGATTCAACGTTTTTCATCGTGGGAGCCTCCTGCATACCGTTTGGTATGGCAATGGTCATAATCGTCGGTCTTATTATCTTTAGAAACAAGGACAGCCCAATTATCAAAGCTTCTGAACCAGGCTATCTCTACATGATCTTACTATGCTTGCTGATCGGATATCCTACGTCGTTCACTCCTCTTCTCAAACCCTCGAACATTACTTGCTCGGTGGAATATTACTCCTTTGCAATTTATGCTACATTGATCTCAGCCAACCTGCTCTATAAGTGCGTTAAAGTCTACGACATTTTCGCTGTCAAACAAGATTTTAAGCCACCAAAGTTAGTTTTGCTCATAAAAAGAGCAGGTCAAATCTTCTTCAACTTGCTTAGTCTGGGAATTACAGCTACCATCCTCCTTATTGATCGCTACACCGGAGATGGCCGGCCTAGCTGGGCATTTAAAAGATACCAGGAAATGCCTCACAGACCCTGGTATCTCATGTGTACCATCATCGACAACCAGATCATGATAATCTCATTGGTTGTTCCAAGTCTATCGCTCCTCATAACCATGGTCATGACCTTCAAGATGAGGAAACTTGATCACAACTTTAAAGAATCCCTCAACATCTTTTGTGCCACATTTGTGGTGATGTTGTGCTCCATCATGTTTCTTTCAAGCTACAGTTTCTCTCCACCAGAGGTTCGAGCTATCCTGCGGGCTGTAGTGATCTTCATGAATTCAACATTCTTTCTCTTCGGCATCTACATACCAAAGATCCTCAACCTCTGGCTCTAATTGACGAGGAAGAAGCAAAGATTTGTAAGCGAGAAACGAAGTTTTCAACTATGACTGGACTGGCCAATGTTAAAAAGTGTATTATCACAGAGACTGAAAGTGACCCTACCTAGCCTTAACACAAATTCAAAAAGAGAGTACAGGTGTGCGGGTATTGGACTCATAAATACGTTGTTTTAGTAGTATGTAGAGCTCAAGAAAGGGAAATTTTACGCTTTTTTACACTTAACAAAATTGTCTTCTAAAAATCTTCTTTTTTCCTATTATTTTTCAATCAGTCTTCACTTAAATTAGTACATTCCCAAAGGTAAAACATACCTTTGGTGAGAAAAGACTGTAATTTTTTACACGATTTAAGGCGTTTTTTAAGCTATTTTAGGCTATTTTCTCATTTCAAAGATGTCTGATGTTTGACTCGTACATAGTTTTGGTTGTAAAATTGTACATTCATGATTCATGAAGGTTAAACCTCAGGAATTTAGTTTTGATGGTATGAACTTAAAGAGAATGGCCTACGAATCTTAAACAAAAGGCTGACTAATCCTATAACACAATACCCTGGATAAGCTCAAAGGACTGCAACAGTGGTCCTAAATCACGTGATCCAAACTTGCAGAGCAAATCACGTGACCTTAACATAATACAGAGATGAACACAGCTCGCTAACTCAGTATTGTGTTCACACAGTTCAACTTTTGTTCAGCAAAACTGTCTATTTTACGTGATTAGGGTGGCTACTTGATATAATAATTTAGACATTTAGCTACTTAGATAACATAATCGCGAGCAGGCAGCACTCTCATTCTCACTCTACACTTCTCACTCTCCAGCTACAAGGATGGCTGCGTCTCTGTCTGCTATAAGTGGGGCCCGCTTCTTACATCCGTTAATAAGGCACATAACACTAGAGATTTATACCATAGGGTAGTAACTTATTGGTATTTACATGACAATACACCTCCAGTAATTGAGGAGATGTGCGTATATCTACCGAGGTTGTTATGTCCTCATTTATGTAGCTGTATTTTGTTTGTAGGTAAGAAACTTCTACAGTATCATTAGCTTGTTCTCAACGTCAACTCATTATCAAAATACAACTAATATTTAATACAATTATCTTTAGTACTAATTCTACAGATACAATTGCTTCTGGCCCCGTAGCTCAGCTGTTGCGGTCGAACCAAGATAATAACTGATTAGAATGACAGAGATGTGTCGACATTGATAATATGAAGATCACACTCATCACAGTGGTCGAGTTTGTCATCTTATTAAAAGTTTGGAACCACAGACACACAACCAATACCATAGCTGACCATCTAAACATTGGTCCAGCAATAATGAAACCACCTTCTCCAAACCGCACAAGTTTATAATCAAGGTCGAGTTGGTGTCAGCTCCATGTGTGTGTCAGCTAGCTAGTGTAAACAACATTGAAGATCTTCGTTGCAAGTCTTGAGTCGTTAATTAGATTGATAACACGAGATTAGATGAAATCTCTTGGTTTAGCTTATATTTTATTATTATATTTTATTATTATTACTTTATTACATCATCCAGTCAACGTTTGGTGCGTTAAGACAGCAAAATAGGTGAAAATCTAATGTTTTCATAGTTTTGTGCCGTTTGCTGGTAATTCTATGCTTACTTTATTTGAAACTGGTGTAGCAGAAAACTGTGGCTGTAGGACTAGGCCAGCTCAAAAAGATGTTGTCATATCGGTGCTGTTATGTTTGTTTCATGGTGCTGTCATGTTTGTTCGATGTCCTAGGATACATTTCATAGTAAAACCCTTTTGGCGTCACGGGAGTGCCTCTTGCTTCGTTTCTGATCATAGTAACACTCGATTAAAGTCAATAGTGTACTCAAGAATAAAAGTTTCAACACTATGATTACAGTAAATGTCTGTAATATCAGTTCTAGCGTCGTTATTTTGTAACTGTCACACGACTCTTTTCTGCTTTATAATGATTATTTGCGAGTTGCTACATATTGTGACAGTTGAAAAATCGCAAAGATGATTATAACCGTCCTCTAATACTCTCACGTTAACATTATACATAGCAACGATGTTGTTAACACAAAAGTTTAAGACTATCTCCTCACACCTACAGCAAAGTTTTTTTAAATCATAATACTTTTATTCTTGACAAGCTGCAAGTTTACTCTGAGTTTGACTCCGTACAGATAAGTTGGTCACAACATTTTCAACTTCAAGGAATCAAGGAAGGGGGTTCAGCTTTATTTTTTCGTTAAGTTTTGTTTGCCGTGACATTTCCGCACTGTTTTATTCGCCGCAATTGTTGGTAGTTTATATATATTATATATACCCTTGATTCCGGCTTCGTCTATCTTAAACGGTCCTGATTTAATATGATCAACATGACGCTGGAGAGTGAAGATATCTAATCATGCTTGCCATACGAAAGAATTCGGTCTATGTTCATAAGTTTTTGAGAAGTATGGGTTTAATCTCATTAAACTATATAAAAAATAAGTATAAAGAATAAGGAAAAGGAACGGGAATGAAGCCAATACCAGAAGTGAAACCCCACCAAAGAATAATTGATCCTTAGGTAGACCTGGTGAAATAAAGTAACTGAACTGTAAGTTTAAGAAAAGACGGAAGGAATAAAGGAGAGAGGAAATAATGTTATGTGAACATCATCAGCAGATGACTTGGCACACCGGTTTCGGGGGTTTAATACCTGTACCGGTTTAATGTGCCAAGACCCCCTAGCAATCACTCGTCAGTGATCACCTGTTCACGTTAAATGTTATGTCAAGGATGTCGCTGACATCAAGTATACTGTATTTGTACAGAATACTAGGTCGGTCTTTCAGAAGCTTTCTGAATTTACTCTTCAGGAGTCTGTCATTATAACATCTTGAAAGAAGTGTCCTATAAAGGGTGTTGGTAGAACACAGAAAAGAATCAAGGTCTGAGATAATGGAAGAGTAACGAAGGACCTGACCGTAAAAAACATTATAACCAACAGAAGAGGAAATATTACTGTTAGGAAAGGTGTACATGACCACAGGAAAGTTGAAGTCATCAAGTTTGTTGTAAAGCTTGGTGGCGACGTGTCCGGAGTTATTCATCGAGATGTTGATGTCGAGATAGTTTACGGACTTATTGTCGTCACCACTCCTCTCCATAAGCAGGTCAGGTGGATAAATGGACCTGATTAGGTTAGAGAAATGCAAATAGTTCATGGTGTTGAGGTCGTCGACATATCTGCAGTTTCTTGAGAGGAGCTTAGCGAGACCGAACTTCTTTTCTTTGATTAGGCGTGTCATGTAGTTGAATTCACACTTCCCTAGCGAAAGATCAGCGAACTGGCTACTAGAATTCCCTCCCATGGGAATGCCTTTCGTTTGTCTTAAAATCTGATCCCCAAAACAAACAAAAGTGTTAAACAGAATAAATGTAATAGCTGTTTTGAGTTTATCAGCAGAAAAACATAAGTATCCGTTATATTCCTTTTTAGAGAAAAAATTGTTGTTCTTATACAGAGAAACACAAATAAATTTATTCGTATTACTAAAGAGGAGATCTATTAGCTCGAAAAGCAGTGACTGTACAACCTGAAGGTCTAGATTGGTATACAGAGTGGTAAAGTCGTATACCTGCATATTAAAAATCTCTAGTCTAGGCAGCCTTTCCAGGAACTGTTTAGAGCTGTTAATGCTCCAGTCGCAGTTAATTCCAGTATTGTTGTAGATAGAGTTGCAGTATTTGGAAAAGTATTCTTTTAAAACTTTTAAAGCTTTGTTGACTACAACTGATATCTGCTTAGTGGTACATTTACTGGCCCCAGCTATAAATCTAGACTTATAAGGATTCTTGTGAAGTTTAGGAATCCAAAAGATTCTCGGTAGACAAAGGTTGTCCTCAGAAACACGAATATTAAAGTTATCTTTAATGAAGTTCACATGTTCCTGAATAATATCATCCTCTACAGAGTTAACCGGATGATAAGTAGAATTGCCACGACACTCTAGAGAAGTGAGATCGTAGCCAAGTTCGTTGAGAAGGGTTAAAAGATAAAACTTCTTGCAGACAAAAACATAATTATTTGAAGCTTTATCTACGGAGCAAATAATAAAAGAAGAAGAAAGACTGTCGAGATAAGATTTAACATCATCCCTTTGTAGAATGGAATTGTAGGGAGTGAAGTTATTAGGGGAGGAGGAGAGGAAGTTAAGGCGATTGGTGAAGATCCGGGAGACCTCATCTTTCCAATCCTGGAATTCCAAACATGAAAGTCCATGTTTCCTAGCCATACGGGTGGCGAAGTTGGCTGAACACTCGTTGAGGCTCTCCAAGATTTGCTCAGGAGGAACAGACACAGGTTCCCTAAATTTGGTACCGTAACTCATGATGCCTCTTAAATCCTCGTGCTCAATGAAAGCAAGGTCACCGGTGATGATGTGGCCTCGAGGCTGATAGCAATAAGGGTTACTGGAACAGGGGCAATCACCTTCCAGGATGGAGGAAATAGTAGTATTATCAAGTGATTTAAGGAATCTATTATAATTAAAAAGCTTACGCCCGACAGGAATATCGTACTTATAGTAAACTTTTAAGGGAAGGAAAGGCGTAAGGTTTGGAGGGAGAAGAGTCAAGATCCTAGAGTCACGAATGACTGATTCTATTCGGAGTTTATCAAATATTTTAGAACAATAGTGAAAAGTGATAAACTCGCTATTAACAGAGGTGATATTAGGAGAAGAAGTGCTGTCTTGGCCAGCAAAAGATTGTATAACAAGGAAAATGGCTCCAGATTTGCAGAGGGAATGAGAGCTAAGTTGTTTGAGCTCGCCTTTTTGAAGGCTACTTATATCTTTATAAAAGCTGTATTTGCTTTCAGACATTTTTCTTTTTAAACTTTCATATTTATTGTCAATCTCTCTTAAAGTGAGAGTCCTTTTGTATATTCTATCTTCATGGCTTTTGTTTTTCTTTTTTCTGCCATGTCCTCTTTTATATCTTTTTATTTTACTTTTAAAATAAATATCGTTAAAGTTGCTTTTAGAAATATTACCAGAACCTTTTATGTTGTCATTGAGACCTAGAGGGTGAGCAGTGCTCAGGAGATTAATCCAAAGAAGTTCCCTGTCAGCTAAGGCCAGACGAGGGTCTTCAGTAGAGGAAGGGTCAATAAAATCAATAATTTGAATGGAGGCGTCATGAAAATTATGACCGGGAGTATTAAAGTGGTCATGGACAAAGGAGGATTTGCCGGCTTTAACCGAAGCACGGTGTCCATTCATGCGTTCATTAAGGCGCTGTTCTGTGAGCCCAACATATTGAATACCACAAGAACAAGTGAGGAGATAGATAATAGAAGAAGATTTACAAGAAAAGGATTCAGAGTGAGTTAACATGAAAGAATTATTAGTAACGTAACTGGTGAAAATATTACTTGACCTGAATGGTTTACAGGTGAGACATCTTGACTTATTACAC